GCCGTGTAACAGATGAGTAATATTATACGCGCAATACATCATTGCTGTGCGTTTGTAAGGTGACGACGGAAAAAGATGGTGTCTCTTAGATAGTATAGCGCAACAAGCTGTAGTAATTAGACTATAAATCAGAGATCTTTGTGTGTGTACGCCCTAAGTCACCTTGTCGGGCAGCGTTAATTATTTCAACGAAAGTGCACAATATAAACGAGTGGTATAAGAGCCGATACGGATCTATTGTGTGTATACCGTTTCTGAGGTACAGCCGCTGGTAGTGTTTATGGACTCGTTATAAGGCCGGCGGCGGCTTCGTGACGAGTACATTAACACGCGACGTGCCGATGTTGATTTTAAATACATTAGGTTTTTTTTTTTTTATCTAGAAGCTCGTGGAAATCTACAGACACCTATTGCGATAAGTTTACTATTTTCGACTTGAAATCTACATGTCAGTTCGGGGATTTTTATTCGTAAAATCGTGCGTTCGTCGTAAATTCATAAAAACTTGAGTAAGATAAATGGACAAATGTCGATAAAAGGAATTAATGGAAGAAATTTGATTGATTCGAGTTTGGGTATATATACGACAGCGAACAAGATGATACATTGTGATTGAATATCATTTGGAGAAACAGTACCAAAATAACATGATGTATAATAATAGTGGTGTCAAAGTGATAATAAAAATAATGTACGAGTATACATATATTAAATACATCCTATTCTTTTTTAACCTGTTCAGTACCTGAATAGGCAAACGCTATAGAAACAATGTAACCATAAGTTATTACTGTATCGTAATTTATTATGAAAATATATATAAAACAATATTTTATTTTGACTGCGTAACGTTCGTGTTATTTATTTTCAAGTCGTAATCTGTAATACTTTTATTGAACTTGAATATAAAGAATTTTTTTTTCTAATGTTTGAGAGCACAGATTAAATACAAAAATAAACGCACAAGCAGCTTAATTTATTTGATGTTTCCGTGTAGTTTTAAACTTCAATATTTGCTTAGATAAAGACTCGCATGACAGTTAAAATACATCTAAATTAATGAATCATTAAATTTTAATTGTTAAAGAAATAATTGAATTCATCGATGACACTATAAATTACAAAGCACAATTATTACCCCCGTTAATTTTGTTATACTCCAGCGGGGTACGTAGTGTTTTTTGACGTTGATTTATTGTTAACACATCTTGTTGCGTTCACGGATTAAAGTCACTGCGGGTTTCCATTTTTGGATGTTGCAGTCTATACGAATGGTCGACTTCCCCGCCGCGATTACACCGCGTCTTCCCTTGCCGGTGGTCTGCAGTAAGTCGTTATGCTGCAGTGGTATACGACCACCACGTTTTTGGGTAGTACTTCCTGAGTACCACACGTATACTTTCACTATGACGTGCTTTCTAGTATACGTACTGCAGAATATTTATATTACCTCAAGCACGAATCAGACATTTGGTCGACAAACGAAATGAATATGAATTGGTTTACTTAGCGTTGTGTAATTTTTATACATTAATTTGAATCTGGCGGATCAGTCAAATTTGAGTTGAGTAATCAATGATTCGCTAGAAAGAGCACAAAAATAAACGAAGCAATCGATCAATCTTTACATTATTCAAAAAATATTATGATCAAAATATTGTAAATCTATTTTATGACAAGTTAAACCGGACGTAGAAGTCAGTACGTGTATTGTGTTTGAAACACAGTTTTCGAGCCATAATCGTCAGTCCATTTTAAATTCTGCAATGCATATCGATTGTACGATTTATAGGCACAGACTAGAATACGTTATATCCTAGGTCAAATTTCAAACTGTAGTGCACAATTTCTCAACAACGAATGGGGTCTAAGTACTTTGTACTTCTCTTATCAACTAACACGAACTAACAGCAAATATGTAGTTTGTATAATTACTAAAATTGATTGTGCATTGTGGTGGAATCAGAGGCCGACGGCCAGGGGACACAAAAGTTGTGGCTATTCTGTTCACTTTATAATTTTTTAGACGTATATATCAACAAAATCGTTCTTGTGAGAACTGGAAATTTTCATGGACAGATACAAAAAAAAACACATCATGATAAAACCAACAACTTTTCAACTTCACTTCGAACCTAAAAATTTGTGTGAATATTATGGTTTATTGTTAAACACATCATACTATTTAACATTCATTCATAATCTGGTTGATGTTAATACTAATTAAATAGAAACAACACATGAAACATAAGTTTTGTATTATTTTAGAAGTGCATACATAGCATTGCAATTATTAGATGTCAACATCAGGAATATCAATAAAAGCAGCTGTCTACCACGAAAATCATTATAATGTACACATTCCATCACGTGCATTTCGTAAAGCCTGAGGCCAATTGAAAACTACAGGGCTAACCTTTTAACGTTTTGGCCAACAAAACCTATCCTCGGGCTCCTATCCAATAAAATTATACGATAGTATGAATTAAACTGACGCCTGCATTATATATTCGACCATTAACATAACTCAATACCTAATGCGTTGGTAATAAATGTGCCAAATCAAACCGATTGGTGGCACCTTCTCTTTTTAATTTTGCTTCTTGTATACTCGAACTAAAACAAATTAAGCATTAAAACCTAACTTAAACATAATCGATATAGGTTATAACTCATGAACTAACACTTTAAAACTTTTTTTTATACATTCAAAACAAAAAAAATAATCACAAGTTATGTGGTATAGTTGGGATGTGGGAATATTTGACAATGATTAAAATCACAATTATTAATGTGATAGTATAATGATATACCATTAATCATAAATAACCCAACGTTTCTGTGTAATCCATATAAAGTGTTGAATTTTTTAGATTATTCCAAAAACAACACCAACTTTTACTTCCTTAATTATATCGTGGCTACAAGTTTTATGATCTATAAGTATAATACAAAAATAAATACTTATGATAGTAATTAAATTTAGATTGAAATTGATATTCGATAATTTAATATTGTAATTTTTATGGAGAAATTATAAAAAAAAAATAAAGTAGTTGTATATTTCGTTATATCTATGGCAAATATTTTTTATAATTATGGATTTATCAAAAAAATAAGAAGAAAAAAGTTCGATTTTTCCGACCCTCTTTTGAGTTCAATAGCTAAAACATTTATTTGTAAATGGCAGCCCCCTTCCTTTTAATATACAAATTGGATGGAAATTTCAATAAAGCTAGCTTATATAATCAGTTAAGTGTTAAAATGATGTATAAACAACTATTGTGATCATGTTGTTTATTTTAATTGGTTTTTTCTAATTTTAATGAATTTCAACAAGGTGATAATACAACATCGTTAATTTATTTTGCGATTTTTTTTTTTAGCCTTGAAGAAGACGCATCATTGATTATTGTTTATTTATCATCTCATTTAAAGAAAGCATAAACATCTACAAACATTAACATATTATACACCGGTTGGCTGTCGATAGTTGTTTGAAACCATTACAAATCAAACAGCGGTAACAAGTAGGTATACTTGGACTTGGATTCACTGGATTGACTTCACGTATTGGTTTTACGACTACAGGTAACCTATAAATGTAACGGGTGATATTCATCGGCGTTTTACGACACCGGTCGGCATGTAAACATTTTAGTGAAATAGTAATAATTAAAAAAAGAAGTCAGTTGGAATTATTGTACAAGCCGTCGAAATTTATGCATCTTGATTGGAGCGCCTGGCCAGAGAGTAGTCGTACCATTTACATAATGGACTTCTACTATCCTTGTCCTCGTTAAAACTGTCAGCCGTCACAGTAATAACAATCCTGAGAATTAATTGAATATAAATTTATGATGTTTGAGAATGAATGTGTTAAGTCAAAATCAAACCAATTTAATTATTTTATTTTTAACTTTTCAATTAAGGTGTGCTTCCAAATAGCTTAAGCATCAATGCTTCTAGTTTAGATGACACACCTTACTTTAATTACAAAATTACTTAACATTTCTAAAACTATCGATATTGATGAATCTTGTAAGGAACTGGTGATGTCAACATTTGTCTGGCATATGTAATATAAAGTCAATTTAATTAGAAAAATCTCAAATGATTTTCCTTTTAAGGAATGAGATCAATAAAAATGAATTTAGTTGAGCTAATTTAAAAATATTTTATTATATCGGTTTCGAAGTCTGACACCGTTTTTTAAGTTATTGAAAAATAACGACTGCATGTCAATTAGTTAAGACAGTAGTTTAAAAAAAACTATAGCATATTTGATTTGGCCTCGAGACACAAAGTGGCCAAGAGTGTTAAAAAAAAAAGTCTCAGATAAATTAAGTCTTAGCTAGCGCATGATCCAACCCGACCTAATCGCCTACGTTATTTTCCAATTTTTTTTAGTCTCTGCAATACTCATGGTGGTCTAAATGATTTTCTCTGTTATTTCCGTTAACTAGTCTCTATACACAAGTGATTTATAACTTGCATATATTTACAAGTATCTGCCTTTAACCGACAAGCACGTTTTCATTTACACCTGATCAGCTAATGAGTAAAGATATCACCTCTGTTTAAATTTTGCTTTGAAAACAGTCGGTTGCACATTGTTCCGTAAAGAAAAATATCATCATTAATTTAAAACAATGGTAGTGCGTATTTGTTCCTTTTACCAATAGTGATGATCTTTATAAAATTATAGACCAATATGATTATTATTTGGCGTTCCTTATTTTTTGTAAAATGAAAAAAACATTTAAATATGTTCAGTATTAGTAAGACATATATGTCCATAGCATAATTAGTCAATGCTTATAAAACATTAACAATACATCTAATATCATGTATATCTAATAAATTTAATTAGTAGCGTAGTTTTAAAAACCATATATATATTATAAATAAATCTATGTAAAATGAAATTATCTATTAAATACACAAAAACATATACTTGTATTAGAATTTTATAAACTTTCTAGGCGACACTAAAACGAATCGAGCCGTTCCAGTCTGGAGCATGGAATTGCTATTTTTTTAAAGCGATCAAGGACTCGTGGCGTTTTATGGATACACAATGAGATATTGGTTTTCAAAAAATACTAATGTGTATTGTTCAAATGCAGTGACGGCATAAGACGACAAGAAAAAAAACATAAACGAAGGAAAATCCTTAATGGCATTATCTACGGTGTGGGTTGGAGAAATAAAATTTTAAACACAAAGCCGATCACTTCTGACTGTCAATGATAAACGACTTACCGAGTTACACGGTAAAAAATGACAGACCAATGTTGTATGTACATTATCGCTGCTATTATTAAGGACCGGGTGTACGTGTTGTAGATGGAGCCACCGCACGGTGCGCCAGACACCGACCAACAGTCAGCGGCGGGTAGCTCAGCAGTTCTTTGGCTGTATCTTCGACGGCAGTGCAACGCCAGAGGTTGTCCACGTCGCTAGTCTCAAGACTCTCTTTCCGTCCGCCGTCGACTTTTATGTATACGCCGTTGAGTTGAATATTTTTTATGTGGATTAAATAATAGTGTAGTTCAACCATCGTGGTTAGTTATTATTGTAAAAATATATTGTATCTATTCAGATATATTGTACTTGGTGTTTTTCACCGTGTGGTCTTTTAGTGCTACAGAAAATATTATATTTATGACTTGTAGATGATGATCATGAGTAACGAAAACCAATACCTTAGACCGGATTACTTATCGCCCTTGCCATCGGTAAGTACTATTTTTTTTTATTAACAATACCACCACAACAATTAATGAAAAGAGAAACACAGTAAAAAAAACATGTTTTTTTTCAACTTCACAAATAACAAAATACGACATTATTTGACACGAATCCTAAATTATTTGAACTAAAATAAATAAAACAAACGACGATTTATGTCAATAATGTATTTCAAATACATTGTTTTATTTTACTATAATAACCGTGCAAAACCAATACTAGTTTTAATTTTTGTTTAAACTCCAGTGATTAAGTTGAGTTTCTTAATTGTCTGAATCGATTAATTCTTTATAAAAGAAACAACTCGTATTGGTATTTCTAACTTTTTTATTATTTTGCAAATGTGACATTTTGCCGAATTAGTAGTTGCGATTGGCGGATTATTTATATGATTAAGCTTAGACTCAATGGAAAGTCACAAAATCTTATTTCTCTCTGGCGAAAAATTAATTTTTAAAGGGTATGTTAAAAAATTAATAGTTTGTGTACATATTTTTAGTTTAAGTGTTAAAATTTATTCAAATTTCAATTTTATTGAGTGCACCCAAAGTCTAGTTGTTAGAATACAGAAAAACTATTGATAGGAGTTTTATTGAAACATATATTCTTGGAAATGAAAAAAAATAAAATGCAAGTTGTTTTTTCAAACATTTATTATTGAAGTATACTACTTTTTATATGTGTACACTTAAAACAACATTGAAAGTATTTTTATACTACTCTTGTTTTCAATGTTTCAATGATTATTTATTATTATTTATGCAAAAAATAGAAGTACACATACTATTGTTTTCAAACTATGGAATCACATTTTCTCTATTATTCCTACTCCAACCCAACGTAATTTTGTAATTTATACAGGCTTTTAGTATTTGTGTAACAAATTATTCTAAACATTATATTGGCGTCTATTATGTCCTAATCTACGCAATATTTTAACTATCACACACACCGTCATATTATCATATAAGTTATGACTGGTGAAAAATATCGATCTTGAAAGAAATCGATATTCAGACGGCGATATTTTCTTTGCATTGTATAATTTTTTAAGTATTGATAAAATTATACCTCTGCAGTTCCTCTATTTGAAATTGTCATAGTAATAAATGCGCAATGTTCCCCGTAATTTAAGGTATAATACTTAATTATTTCTATAAATAATCTAAGAGACGAAACACTATTTTCTAATAGGAATCGATGTGTCGATTATCTAGAAGCAATTTAATGTAATCTAAATTTCATTTACCAAAATACCAATTTTGACAAAGATATTACAAATTACATTAGTGAATTTTTTTTTTTCATAATCTTACAATTAGTAATTGTTCTAAATAAATCATTCGCAGTTTTTTAACGTCCGTGTTCTTTTTGATCAATGTTATTTATTGAATTGCCTATCACCTACAAAGTCATTGTTCACCAATAGCTATTTTAATCCCTACAGAGCCATAAACAAAACAAAAATCTAGGCGTCAGATAGTTTGTTCATCGGCAGAAATTGTACTAAAATGTATTTGAAATAAAATTTCATTGTGAAACATCGATAAAATCGATATCGATCGATCTTACAGTGAATCGATATTTTAAATTTAATATCATCAAATGGCGTTTAGTATGTGGAAATTTGGCTAATCGCACAGTGACTTTTATGAGCATATTAATTACTCAGTTTCTGTGCGAACGCTCGCCATGAGCAAAAACGTCGTTACCGAGAATCGCGTGTAACTAATGCGCGTCAAGGAAAAACATGCCGTTTCGCATCTGAAAAACGTCAAAAACAATAATAATTTAAACATACAGATGTTACTTGTAGTGGTATTGATTTGTGCGAACACGGTCGGGAATGTCGAAGGCAAAATAATAAGTAATAGCATAACATGTATATTGGCTTCCATCACGTCACGTGTCTCCGCTCCTTCGCCGGCAAATCGATTATACTGCAGTCGCATGTGCCGCCTGTCTCATCGAATTTGTGTACATGTGAACATTAGGCGGCGATGAGGGAGGGGCAACGGACAGATTTCACCACCCTAGACACCCTGTCACGTCGTTAATGGTGTTCTTCTCGGTCGCGTCCTTTTTTTCGCCATCGAGTGTTCGCCTCGTTCGCTTACCGATCGCCGAACGGCTCCTTTAACGACGCGACTTATGATTTACGGGCAACCCCATTAGCCGCTTAAGTCAAGCGGCAAACGAGACTTTTTGACGGTCAATTTATCTCCGTGCCACAAACGCCATTCGTCACGAAAATATCAACAACAATGAAATGTGGCCGCAATTTTTTTCGTTGCGCGAATAAAAAACCATCGGAGGGTGGTACAGTGCGAACTGGTAATATTGTGTCAACATCGTGTTCCATTCACATCCATCACGGATTGACAGAACTGCGGCATTGTCGTGCGGTAGTCATGCAAGAATTGGGATTTTAAAACAATTTTTTAGGTGTTTACACGCCAATATATTTCAGTGTTCGTTAATGCTTTTATCTGCGCATTCTTTGTTTTCAATCCAATTTCAAGTTCCGTGTATAATTTTTTATCTGCGACCTAAAAGGGTCGAATGAAACAATAATCGTTTATCAGTCACATATTAATTGAGCATAACGAATTGCGCATAGAGTATGCATTTTTACTTTTTTTTTCATTGACATCAATAAAAACCGGTCGTTTTAATTCTAGAGTCACATTAATAAATAACACATTATAATCTAATCAGACAGTTTTGGCCACTACTATTCTTAGTGTACAATTATTTGTACATTTGTCAATTTGAACTTATTATGGTCGCTAGTGAATGTGACACAGCTTTGATGTTCCAAATGCGGACGCCCATAAACTCTTAGTTAATTGATATTAACGACATAATTATTACTCTATCATCTTTTAACATCGTTTAGGTCGGATATTGAACGTACGTAATACGAATTCGACCTGCTCACAGTTACTGTTGCGACTACTTCATAACAATGTGTTAAAATTAGAGTTAAATTCAGATCATTTTTTACTGTACGACCATAGGCGTATACCATCGAGGAGAGGATTCAATTAATTTTCGACTTGTTTGAACGCTTATTAAGCGAAAAAATTGAAAATAAAATTTGACTTCCACAATTATGATGATAATTTCATCATTTGCTGAATTAGTTTTAAAAATCATCATCGAAGAAATAAGAGTAAACAAAATCAGTTGAATCAATAATAATATATCAACTAAATTAATACTTATTGCACTCTCGAAATGAATACAATAATTATTGTTTTCACATGAATAATATTAATACAACTGATACTAAGCGTATTTGGAGCATATTTATTTCAAATACACTGTTAAATTTTAGATTCTCTCTTGACGTAACTTTTTTTATCGTCGATTTTCACATATATCATATTAACGTATATAATGCTTGTCATAGAATAATTCATGTAAAAAAAACTTACATTGAAACTTCTTTGAACTTTTAACAATGTGACAATATTTATTTTTGTTTAAATTGGAAACTCAATATTCAACTTGGATTTATATTTTACAACAATAAATTTTTCAATCGCTAAAAATAATTATGTTTTTGTTGAAAATGTTCAAAACTCCAAATTAACTCATAAATTATACAGTAGACTATTATTTTTTCTTTTATCATAAAGTGAAATAATAAATTAGTAAGCACATAAAATGTGTTTAACATAATGACTCAATGTTTTTTTTAGTTTTTAACTATTTTAATTGTTTTGTTACAGTTGGATGCCAAAAATAGTCCATTGGCTCTGTTAGCTCAAACATGTAGCCAGATCGGTGCCGATGTGCCTACAAAACTCAATGGAAACCACAATGACAAGAATCATAATACTTCTACCAACATCAAAAAAACCGGCAACGACTCCCGAGACAAGCGGTCGCCTTCGCTGTCGTCCGCTGCCTCTTCGTCGTCTTGTTCGAATAGCGGCTCACCGACTAACCGCGTCTCAGCGACATCAGTTTCAACGACTCGATCCAGCTTTAAGCCATACGAATCATGTGTAGTAAAACCTGTCGCTGAACCAGCCACAGTGGCTACGTCCATCAGCCTAGACGCGACCATTAGGCGGGCGACGCCACTGAACGATAGGTGTAGCAGTAAGGAGAGTTCGTCTAGTCGGAAGTCACCAATTGAAGATAAAAAATACGAGTCAAAATCTGTTGATACCAACCCCATAACGGTTACACCGGTAACATCGACAGCCGCCAGTTACCATCCTCATCATCATCTTTCGCTGGCTGCATCTCCTATGATGAACCCTTATTTCAGGGCTGCTGCCGCTGGCCCATTGCCATGTCGGGATCCATATTGTACAGGTTGTCAACTAGCTGCGCAATTGGCTGGCAGTGCAGGAAAACCACCATGTCCGGCCGGTTGCGTCCAGTGTGAGCCTAAAAGTCATCAGCCACATCATCACCCACAGCACCACAGCATGGCTGCAGCTGCGTTCGCACATGCTCAATTGGCCGCGTTGGCAGCGGCTGCAAACCAGTTGCCGTATGTTTGCTCGTGGATGGCGGCGTCCGCTGACCTACCATCTTACTGCGGTAAACGATTTGGCACTTCGGATGAGCTGTTACAACACTTGAGGACACATACGTCTGACCCTGCGGCCGCCTTACCACTATTACAACGGTCATATCCGACGCCTCCGCTGAGTCCGTCCACTAGTCGCTACCATCCATACGCGGCAAAACATCATTCAACGTACTTTGCAGCGGCGGGCTATCCATCACCACTGACCTTACCACCCCATCCTAGCCTTCTGCCACCATATTTTCCGACAGCGTATTCGCCGTACGCCCCAAGACTTAGTCTGGGCACTTCACCGCACACATGAGAGCAAGGCTAGATACGATAAATACCGTAGAAGTGGTCTATATAATATTTAAGGATGTTACTGACAGTCGTTGCTAGCAGTTATTTCCTATTTGTTTCACGCTCTCCTAGTGCGCCTTCGATCGCAAAAACTGCGTCTGACTGGACGTCACCGATTACAAAAATTGAAAACTATGAAAACTGTATCTTTAAACTGTTCAACTGCAATTGTTTTTGGAAATTCTATTTCACGTGTTTCTTTTTTTAGATGATAAATTTGTTAATTAACTATTTTTATAAATGTCATACTTTTCATTTATCCATTAATTTATTTTTATTTTTGTTAAAAACCTTAATGTTACCTTGTTTTATTTTTTTTGTTATGTGGTTTTATTATTATTTATTATAATAATAAAAATATTATTATTATTGTCATAATTTAAAAAAAATTTAAATTGTCTATTCTTATTTATAAATAAAATTAATATCCAGCATTTATTTATATAGATACAATAAATATTTATTGTATTTTATTACTTGTAAATATAAATTAATATATTGTTTAACTTGAGTTTTACTGTCATTGTATATAGAAGAATATAAAAAAATAATATTTATAGACGATGAAAGAAAAAAATTTAAATAGTTATATTTGTTTCCTAATTAAAAATGTGTTACTAAGTAACACTTTTTTTAATTATCGATAAACGATAATTGTGTCCAATAGTTGTTATATGATAAAAAACACATTGCTGTCGTGAAAAAATTATAAAATCAAATAATTTATATCACATAAAGGACTTAATTAAAAAAAAAAAAAAGGAAAATTGTTAAAAATTTAATGATCTTTCGATTTTTTATTAAGCCTACAATACAAAGTATTATAACAGCATGAAAAAAAATCTAGTTAATAATGACATTATTTGAATAAAATTTTTTGGATATAACTGCTTAGATATCAGATTAGATTCTTGATGTTAAAACATTATAACTAAATAAGAACAACCAACATGTGTATATGCATAGAAATAATTTAACAAAGTTTTTCAAAGTATATGTGGCAAAAAATATTTTATTTACACAATAGTACTAAGTTAAAATTAATTTTAAATTAACACGTCCTCCATAAATGTACATTCAACTAGCGTTCTGCCTGTTGTATCTTGTCATAAGAATATATTGCAATGACTATAAGTTACATGATGTTGTTATTGGTATTCTAGTCGTAGAAAAGTGTTTTGACCGTCAAGGTATTTACTATTTTAGTCAGGTGACATCCTTTTGGTAGTAAATTATGTGTTTGCTCATCAAACACCGGTTTTCGACTCAAAAGTAGAAAAAAACGATGGTAGAAAATAAATAACTAACATAGTAAAGGATATTGAGACTCATACAACAAAACGACTGTCGTCAATGAATACAACGACCACAGCACGACGTACTTGTCACGTGGATCTTGACGACCGTAGGTAAGAGGTGACAAAGAACTTAGCTACTGACGGACCGAACGCTGAAAAGGTCAACGGTACAAAACTTCCCCGCACCTATTGTCCACTGATTGACAAACGAGCGCTTTGAACGGTCTGTGTCGCGTATGGACTATATAATTTGTAAGTATATTATAGTTGTCTATGGACTTAAGCACGTATACGAGACACATAAGGCTACTTCATTCTAAATTTCAGAATAACAAAACAGATAAGTGAGTGAAATGAATCAGTTCGAGAAACACTGTTCTTTGGATAAATAGGATTCAAATAGGACTCGAGTGTATTAAAATAAATATATTATTGAAAAATTCTGAGAATTTAATAGCAAAATTATTTAACTAATTTATATAATAGAAAACGATACAATTAGGAAGATAACTAGTTAATTGAAACTTTTGGAACAATATTTCAGAAGTTACTAACAATTTAAAGTGATGACTGGAGGTGAGGAGTGGATGCTGCTATTTTTATCATTAGTCATTTACCAACCGTACTCTTCGTCACGACAAGGTATAAAAATGAGATAAACATCCAAAGTACTGGCTCTAATATTGTTATCGACCAGACATTTTCTTAATTAGATTAAATTTCATTTTAAATGCTTGTTAAGTATTTATGTTTCCATTAAAAATAAAAGTTGATAGTTTTTGAAAATATAAAGAGATGATTCTAAAAATTAATTATTAGTTGATATATCAAGAAATATATGCAACTAAAAGAAATTAAACATTTTATAATTTCAATATTGTATTTATTTTGAGAGAAATACAATGGTTTATGCAAAACCGTACATCTCGTATATATAATTTAAAAAACCCAGCACATGGGGGTCGCGGCACAGTGATGACATGGCATAGTTGGATCAAGTATAATGATATCTGACAGTGATTAAAATCACTATAAAAAAAACGCTTCGATGCAAATCTTTAGATAGTGTTTAATTAAAAAAAATTGGTGGATTATTCCAAAAGCTATATGATCTGCTATTTCCTTATTAATATCCTGATAGAGATAAAGTAAGTGGAATGAAAAAGGGATTATTAAAAAATATTATTTCTCATAAAAAAAATGTGTTGATCCATACATTTTTTAATAAGTTATAGCATTTTAAAGTTAAAAATGTAAAAATAAAATCAAGAATTTTCACACAAAAATAACATTCGGTAGCCAATTTCACCGTGAAGACAAAATAAAGTACAAAATTTTTTTTTCCATAATAAAGTACATTACATTATCTTTAATTTAAGATATATATAAAAGTGCCAGACTTTCCGGAAAACTTTCAAAAGTTAAGTGTAAAAGTAAATTTTTTGTGAAAAAGTTGTCATTTTAAACCCCCCCCCCCCCCGAGCAGTAAAAGTGTCAAATTTATAAAAAAAATATACCAAATGAAAGGTAATTATATCATGCATCGATATAAAAAAAATTATTCTATTGATTTGGTTATTTTTAAAAAATATATGGCAATTTTAAGAAATAAAAATTGAAAAAATTTCGAAAATTAACGATTTTTAAATTTGTAATTTTTTTGGAGGTTTCTCTCATTTACGGGGAACAAGGGAAATTTTTTTAATTTTTGAGGGTAATTTCTTCGATAATATACGATTAGTGATCTTTTCACGTATTGTTAAAAGAAATCCGTTCGATGAGAACTGAGAAAAAGTGCTAACAGACACAAAAAAAAAAAAAAAACCTTATCATAGTAAAACCAATAATACCTTCTCAGCTTCGCATCGAAGCTAAAAAGTTATTATTAGTTTTATGACAAATATGTATAAAAATTAAAGTGCTTGACGCAACACTTGTTTGCTTTATATATATATAATATTTAACTTTTATAATAATCAACTTTTAAGGATCAAAAAAAAAAATAAGTTAAAAATATCATTTTGAATTGAATTTTTACACGGAGTATTTTTAACATATTAAAAATTAATAATAACTTGATATAAACATTTAAAAAAAAACCCAGCACAGGGGGGTCGCGGCACAGTTGTGACGTGGTATAGTTGGATCAAGTATAATGATATCTGACAGTGATTAAAATCACTATCAAAAATAAACGCTTCGATGCAAATCTTTAGATAGTGTTTAATTTTAAAAAAATTGGTGTTTTATTCCAAAAGCTACTTGATCTGCTGGTTCCTTATTAATATCTCGATTAAGATAAAGTATGTCAAATGAAAAAGGGTTTATTAAAAAATATTATTTCTCATAAAAAAATTGTGTGGATCCATAAACTTTTCAATAAGTTATAGCATTATAAAGTTAAATATAATATAAATAATAAAATCGAGAATTTTCACACGAAAATAGCATTCGGTAGCCATTTTCGCCGTGAAGACAAGTCCAGAGGTCAAATTTTTTTTTTTCAAATTAAAGTATATTACATTAGCTTTAATTTAAGATATATATAAAAGTGTCAGACCTTCCGGAACATTTTCAAAAGTTAAGTTGAAAAAGTTAATTTTTTGTGAAAAAGTTGTCATTTTAAATCCCCCCCTGTGGGCAGAAAAAAGTCAAATTTACAAAAAAAATATACCAAATAATAGGTAAAAACATCAAGCATCTATATAAAAAAAAATTATATTGATATGTTTATTTTTGAAAAAGTTACGGCAGTTTTTAGTAAAAAAAATTGAAAAAATTTCGAAAATTAGCGATTTTTAAATTTGTAATTTTTTTGGAGGTTTCCCACATTTACGGGGAACGAGGGAATTTTTTTCAATTTTTTTAATGTCTTCGACTAGATACGATTTGTGATCTTTTGACGTATCATTGAAAGAAATCGGTTCGGTGAGAGCTGAGAAAAAGTGGTAACAGACACAAAAAAAAAAAAAAAAACACATCTTAGTAAAACCAATACCTTCTCAGCTTCGCATCGAAGCTAAAAAAAAATTTCAAGTGTTTCAGAATATTAATAATCTCAAAAGAGAGGTGATAAAAAAATCTAATTTCGGACTTGAAATGAGCGTAAAAATTTGGTTAAGTAAATTGGTATATTGGTCTATGATCATTAAAAAATATATTATTTTAGTAATTTGATTTTACTTTAATAATTTTTGTTTTTTAGATTTGTGTTTAATAGCAACATGTAACAAAAAATTTGGAATATTACAGATTGTTCGTAACACACACAAATAAAGTTAAAAAATTAATAAATTACATAGTAAAATTATTTATAATAAAAATTGATCACGTGTGGCTAATTAATTAAGTAAAATTAAAATAATATTAAAAATATTATTAATTTAAAACTAAAAAATATTAAAAATATCAACTTAGCGTTGATAATACAATAAACTTAGTGTATAGCACACATACTAACACCCTTACTAGAAAAAGCTCCCTTGTATACCCCTAGTGACCTTATCACCTAGTGACGTCATCACAAAGTAATATTATCACATTTTGCCAGCTAACACAAGTGTAATAATGAATTTTTCAGTTGGCCAAAATCCCAATTAAAGAAATTGTTTTTATTTTTAAACATTTCTATTGCCACCCTAATATTAAGTTCTTTGTAATTATTTACGTTTTTAATTAGTTTTTAGTTTGAATGGAGTGATTATGTGTCAATAAATGTTCAGCCACTGGAGATTTCTCAACTTCTTGATTTTTAATATTTCTTAAGTGCACTTTAAATCCAACTCCTATATTTCTTTTTGTTTGTCCTACGTAATATTTATTACAACTTTCACATTGTATTTTGTAAATGCCTGATTTCCCCCCTTCTTCTACCTTATATTTAGGGTTATCTAATAAATCTCTTAAATTATTACTTTTAGAAGTTACTAAAGTAATACAAAAATTCTTAAATATTCTAGTTAGTCCATTTGAGATGTCCGA